GAGGTGAGGGTCATTTTTTCCCCGCAGTCGTGGGCCCAGTCTTGGGGTTCACCCTGCAGGAGGGAGATGACGAACCCCACCTTCACGGATTCAGTCACAAAGGTTCATGGTTGCAACTCAAAATAGAGAAGACAGGACTCACGGAATGACCTGAAGCGTGTGCGGTCCCCGTGAAAACGTTCCGATAAGGGTACTCGGGGTTCGGCCGCCGGGAGTGGGGCGGATGCCCCAGAAACCGGCACAGGGGCTGCTACGGCCGGGGGTGCGGGGACCGGCCTGTGGGGCAGAAACGGATATAGTGCAGGTCTGGAAGTGATTCTCAATCTGCTGACATCTGTCCTGCAGGGCCGATACGGCCTGTGTCAAGTTAGACAGGTGCCTGCAGATCTCTCAAGCGGCGAGGGCCCTCCTCTAGACTCAGTCATGGCCTTCTGGTACTGTAAGGGACCGCCTGGCAGTACCACTAGCACTCCACTGAATAGGCGTCCCCAGCGCACGGAGTCTAAGTCCCAGGGTGCTTGTTCTCCAGGGCCCCTGATGGTGGGGATGGACTTGGAGCCCCCTGAGACCAGGTCGTGGCTACTGGGTGCGTCCGTCAGTGGTATGCGCCAAGGGCTCCCACGGGGAAGAGTCTGATATGAGGAGGTCAGCAGACCCCACTGCACAGGATGGATGGATGAGCAAGGTCAGACGGGCCGGGTCGGTAACAGAGAGGACGGCAAGGTACAAGGCAGCGGGCATAGAATGGTCGGGTCACACGCCAGGTCAGCAACAGCAGGTCAAATCCAATAGGGGGCATTCAGGAGAGAGGTCAGGCAAAGCAAGGGTCAGGGCAGGAGAAATACAGCAAGGTCAGGTACAATCCGGGTCAGCAACTTACAATACACAGGTTCGCAGATACAGGATACAGGTAAGACCAGAAGGCACTGAATGACAGCTCAGGGTCGTTTAAATATCCCGCCCTGTGCTGCCATTGGTGCCCAGCGGGCGGCCGCGGCTTCTACTGCGCATGCGCGAACTCGAACGCCGCGGCCGGCCCGGACCTAGTGCTCGAGTCCCTGCACAGGGCGGCACACTGCGCCTGCGCCGGGACCATCGCGGCAGGGATCGAGAGGGATCCTGACACTTTGTGAACGGACCCGCAGCCTCCTGGGACTGTGATATGTCCTAAGAGGCTCGGGGCAGGGGGTTTTCGAACTTTTGCTCGGACTGCCTAGGAGGCAGAAAAGCGTCACTTCCCTTTAGGGGTGAAGTTCCGCTTTAAGTTTGTATAGTCTTTTTTGAACACTAGCATCTGTTAACACAAGGGTACATTCTATGCTGTGTTACTAACAGTGCCATCTTGTCTATAACCCCCCCACTTCTTCCTTTGTGTAAATCGAGCAGAAGAATGTGTTTAACACAGTTGCCTGTTTCATTCTACTTGTAATTAAATTCCCTTGACTATCCTTATGGGGCCAAAATGCTTTGCCGTTGCCTTTTTACTATTAATGTATTTAAAAAATGTTTTCAGATTTTTTTTTACTCTCCTCCAGTATGTGTCTCTTGCAGTCTATTTTTGCTGCCCTGATTGCACTTTAACATTTCTTATTGCATTGTTTGTAGTGCTGGAATGCTGATGGTGACCACTTGGCCTCATATATTTTAAAGGACAGTTTTATTCTCTTTAATATGCTCTTTTACGCTAGAGTTTAGCCACCCAGTTTAACTTCAGTTCTTTTATATTTGTTGCCAATTGGAATACACTGGCTGATGCCATTAATTCATATGTTCTTAACCAATTTCCGACCACGCACTGTAAATATACTGCGCCAAATGATGTATATATATGTGATTTTGCAGCTAAGGGTAGGGAGTGCGTGCGCCGACCTGGTTGTGCTGTTGCTGGCTCCAGCACATGTGGAGCAGGTGACAGGAGAGAGATTTGTGTTGACAAACAACACCGATCTCTACTGAGAGCAAGCAGGTGGCAGTTTTTGTCTCCCTTCAAAAAACTGTCACATTCCTTAGTAAAATCAGCACACAGCAAACACATGAACACTTGCTAGGCACACAGTTAACCCTTTGATTGCCTCAAATGTTAATCCCATCTTACAGTGTCATTATTACAGTAACAGTGCAAGTTATTAGCACTGATCACTGTATTAGTGTCATTGATGATGTCAGTGTTAGTTAGCCAGGGTCAGATTGCCCACTATAAGTCACTGATTGCTGCCATTACTGTATACATTAAAGTGTATATACCATATACACGCCATAACTTTCAAGCAAACCAATTATTATACACTTTATAATATATTAATATACACCAAGGACATGTGGCAGAATACATTTTGGCCTACATTTACAAAGCAATTTGATGTATTTTTTTTATTTTATAAGTTTTATAGCAAAAAGTAAAAAATATAGTTTTCAAAATTGTTGTTTTTTTTTTTTCGTTAGTATAATAAAAAATAATTAAAAAAAAACAGTAGTGATCAAATACGACCAAAAGAAAGCTCTATTTGTGTGGAAAAATTATAAAAATTTCGTATGGGTACAGTGTTGCATGACTGCATAATTGTCAGTTAAAGTAACGCAGTGCAGTATAACAAAAATGGCCAGGTCATGAAGGGGGTAAAACCCTCTGGAGGTTAAGAGATTAATGCACTCCCACTTTTCCTCTGTGATTTTTTTTCTAGAATATCTTTCCATTTAATGTCATGAAGTATGGAGCACAGTTTAGTAAAGTTGTCTCTCTTAAAGTTCAGTGTTCTTGTACTACCCTCGTGTCTCCTTTTAATAAGACTTATGGTGAATGTAATTAATCTGTTATCGCTGTTACCCAAGTTATCCCTTATTTCTATGTCTGCAATCAGCTCTATGTTGTTTTTAATTAGGTCTATCAGAGCGTTATTTCTAGTAGGGGCATCCACTGATTGACATATGCAAGACATTCAAGAAACAGTGAGCCTTAGATTAGTGAGCAGGTCCGTCTGCCCAGTCAATATCCAGATAATTGAAGTCCCCCATAATAATAACATTGCCCTGCCTTGCCAACATTTCTACCTGTGAGAGGAGATAGGTTTCCTCTTCATCCTTCAGGTTAGGAGGCCTGTAGCATCCATGCACTATTAATTTCCCATTTGTTTTTTCCCCTTCCAGCCACAGGGATTCCTGGTCCCCCCCTTTCCCTGTTAGTAATGTAACTCTCGTGTTCACTAGCAACTCACTCCTGACATACATGCACACCCCTCCCGCTCTTATACCTACCCTGTCCTCTCAATACAGGAATTACCCCTGTACAGTGGCAAGCAAATTATGCGAGCTGTCAAAACCAGGTTTCTGATACTCCCACAAAGTCAAAATCCTTGACTTTGTAAACGCCCCAACACATTTCATCTTCCAAGACATTATCCAGCACATTCAGCACTGGTGGAGCCAGGGGCGGACTGACCATTTGGAAACTCGAGCACTGCCCGAGGGCCTGGGGTCAGTAGGGGGCCCCATGAGATGCCCCTGGTACCTTTTTCTTAGGCTTTTTGAGTTTGGGCAAGGACACAGGGGCCCCATGATCCCCTATTGCCCGGGGCCCCATGAGTTGTCAGTCTGCCCCTGGGTGGAGCACACGCTGCATGGAAGCAGACAGTACTTATGGCATGTGGTTCCCACACATAACTGAACAAGCCATCCTCAGTACTGGGCTGTGCACTACTATGGGTATAAATGTTTGTTTTATGCCTTTTTTAATGTGTTTTCTTTTCTTTTTATTTGGTGGGTGGGGTGACTGTGTACACATTTTCAAAGGTTTGCTTAAAACTGTCCATACAAATCAGAATACAGCTAGATCATGCAAATGATCTCATGTTATTGGACATTATTGGCTGCTATATCTAGAAAATCTATAAAAATGTTATTCAGTCACTATTGCTTCCCCCAAGATAAGCCATGAAACAGAAGTTTTCATATGCACTCCCTCCTCAACTCATTCATATAAACATGTACTGAACTTATTCACAAACAGCTATCTCGCAACGGTCAGATTGTGTCTGATTATCTGACCACCTTCCCATACTTATTATTACTTCTTTTGTAACCAAATCTATAAACCTGTATCCATGTTTTGCTGGAGTCTGTGATTAAGTGGAAGACAGTACACAAATATATGCAAATGTCACAAAGCTTTATTGAACAGTAAAACATACACAATTGTGCAAAATGTATCAAATCTAAACATACCCCGAGACAATACATCACAATTAGTCATTTGCTAATAATCCAACCACAAAAACCTCTTTCCTTCAAAGAGACATCTGGATATTTTTGCTAGTATCCTCCTGGATTGCATGTTTGTGTACTGTGCCAGCATCTATCTCAGACAAAACAACAGGCAATCAGCCAAAAATTGCAAGCCAGCCAATGTCTCTTTTTCAAGAAATAGATACCAGCTGTGTCTTTTGGGACTCATGGATATGCCCTGATCCAAGCAAGTTGCAGATTTGTAGGTTTTGAAGGCATACTATCTATATGCAAATAGATTTAAAGAAGCACTGTTTGGCAGTAGCACTGTATGCTTAGCCACTGTGCATTGTCTATTTCTCCATGTCCATCCCCAACAAAACCTTGCCTCTTCAAGATCTCAACTGTTCAGACTGCCTGGTATCTTAAAGTGTGTGCTTCTCTATGAAGGTAAATACAAACTTTTATGGTTGTGCTGTAGATGGAAGCAGAAAAGGATAAAGTGCCAAATATTCAACCATAAAGAGCCCAGCTTCATTACTGCTGGTTCATGTTAATACATCCAACACACTTGCTATAATTTATATAGAAAAGGACAAATATAAACCGCTGACAAAAAAAATATTAATGAAGTATGGGGTGGTGTTCCATCCAAAAAACTCATTTTAATTAAAACAACTCAAGATTTATTTTTAATTGCTCAAAATGTGCAATAGAATAAACTGATGATGGTTCATGTGTTACAGTAACAGCAGAACAATGTCTAGACCCATGTAGCCCCATTAGTGTCTTGCAGCTGAGGGAAGCCTTTGTGTATGTCCATGTGATGAGTTTAAAGTCTTCCCCGATTTTTTAGAATCATCACTTCTTATGCTGTAGACTGATGAATTATCTAGACAAAAAGATAAACAATTAGGAATAATCTGACAGTCTTGTCCAGCTAAAACTGATATTCCAGTGTATGGTAGATCCTGTATGGAAGAAAAATATATTTGATATATACGGTATTTTAAAAATATTCTTCCCAAATATATTGCCGTATATTTGAAATACTACAATTTTAAAATATATTCTTCAGATTTTTTTTAACACATAAAAAAGTAATTTTAACATATTTTTACATATATTTGTAAATGCATTCCAAAAATGTAGATTTGTTTTTTTAAAGACATACAGTATATTTGAAATGTATTTTTAAAAATATTTTTCATATATTTTGTAATAAAAACGCATTTCAGCATGTACTATATATATATTGTCCTAGATTGTAAGCTCGAAAGAGCAGGGCCCTCGAACCCCTCGTGTAGTGTACTGTTACTGTCTTGTCTCATGTTATGTGCCCCCTGCTACTGTACAGCACTGAGCATACCCTTTGGCGCTATATAAATACTGTATAATAATAATAATAATATATATATATTGAATAGGGTCAAAATTGTGTAGTATTTCAAATATAAGGCAATACATTTGGGAAAAATATTTTTAAATTATATTTCAAACATATTTTTCTTCCATGTGGGATGTGTGGGCTAAATCATCCACCAGGTTCTCCTGGGTCTTTGGGAATTCAGTAATCATATTTACCATTTCCCTGCTATATAGTCCAACTGTTCCTGTTGTATTCTTCATTATTTTAAAATAAACGTGTGCTTAAACCTGCAAACTGCTGCGATTTCTGAATCTGCTATGAAGCTTACATTTCAAAAGCTATTAAGGAGCAGGGGTTTCTGCAGCTGCTATGGAGCTGGGGTTTCTAGAGCTGCATTGAAGATGAGACTCTGGAAGTTTCTGAAGTTTGGGCTATGGATTCCTATAGGGTTTTGAGTTGGAGCCCAACTGACGGAGCCACCCCATAGTTGGGAGTCATAAACATGGAACATTGCAATCCTAGTCTATAGTGAATTGAAGCTCTGGATAACGGAACATTGCTTTTCATTTTATTAGGTTTTGAAACACCTTCTGGTCTTGCAAAACTAAAAAAAAGGTGTTTTTTTCATAAGTACTCATCAATCACCTAGACGTTACACATTAAATTAGGCCCAGACAGTACGGAAGCTAATATGAATATACCAATATCACAGATTTAAGCTGTCCAAGTGTATGTAAACTCTGGCAGTGAACTTCTCTGATTTGCTTTCTTTAAGGCTACGTTCACACTAGCCTTGTTTGCAAGCGGCAGACAGGCATTTGGGAAGCGGTTTTACCGCTTCCCAAATGCCTGGGAAAATTCTGCACATTGCAGCAGATGGTGCTGTTCACACGGGAGCGTTAGCGTTAAACAGACGCCTCTGGTCGAGTCAGGAGGAGTTGAAGCCTCCTATTCAAGTCTATGGTGCCGCTCCGCAAACGCCCAGCCGTCGTTTGCGATGCGGTTGCGACGCGGTTGCGGGGCGTTTGCGGAGCGGTAACACCATTCAAACTTCATTATAGGCGTTTGTGGGGCATTTTTAACGCTTTGCAAACGCCTAGCAACCGCTGCTAAACAGCGCATGCGGCGTTTTTGGAGCGGTAAAAAAATGCTCCGCAAACATCGGACCAACGCTTGTCAAACGCTATAGGGGCGTTTGACAAGAGTTGGAAAAACAGTCAGGTGTGAACAAGCCCTTAGCCTGTTAAATATACAATTGAACATTTTAAATACATCTGTTGTAGAAGTGCAAAAATACCTTTTGCTTCTGCCAAATATTGTGTGAGTCGTAAACTTCCTGTACTCTCTGCCTGTGCTGAGTGTTGTTAATGTTGTTCTCAGTTAATATTATGGACTATAAACCCCCTCTCCGCGCCCCCAAGTTATGGACAAAAGAGGAGGTGTTCTGTAGTCCTGTTTTATGGTAGTAATGCTGATTCTCTATAGATGCGATGTGGTGAATGGGTGTTGCCACCCTAGGACAAGAAGTGTGTTATTGGCAGGATTCTAGGTGAGAATATTGGAAAAACAGCCTATTAATATATGCAGTGGCCTCATCTACGGGCTGGTAAGTTGCAATATATTACATTATTGTTCTTGGCTTAACATACATTTTAATAATTGAAATGATTACAAGTACATTGCAAATCACCTACACCTGAAGTGATCATGTTACCTGATGTTACACTTGATCCAGTTTTCTTCTCTAGGTCTTCTTGTATTTTAAGCAACATCCTTTCTTGTTCCAGTGCCTCCAAGTACTTTGAATAGCTCCAGGATACCTGCAAAATGGTATGTTACACTATGACATCGACTTTGAAATTGTATCATTAGATGAAAATATTCTGTCTATAGGGATAAGCTTTAGACAAGAACAGATAGCTGAGCTTGCATTCTCCCACTGAATATATAAAGAACTTGTGATGACTCAGGAGAACAGAGTGGTTTGAAAACACCCACAGAAAAGTGAAGTTAGAGTTTCAAATTAATAATTTGTCAAAGTTCAGAACTTTATCATTAAAATATGTAATAAAATGAATAGGATATACTAAGTCATACAAAATTACATCTTTAGATGGCATCTAGTGATTTTGTGGTTGGCAATGAAATGCGTGGGTAACACAGCTGCAAAAACTGTCGGGAGAGTGTGAGTATAATAAAAACATTACACAAGATTCCATCACCTAATATAAGTTATTTATTTATGGATAATTAAGAGACGTTTCCTGTTTTGCCATATTAACAGCACAAGTTTTCTTCTATTTTACCTATTTATTAGTTACAGAAAATACTTAAAGCGGTATTAAACCCAAACATTTTATTATTTTTTTTAGTGTACCGAGTTTATAAACTTCTTTTTTATTTTTTTATTTTACAGTTACAAATGAACATTCATTACAGGAGGCTATCTGGTAATAAAAAGCAAGATCAGCACTGCCCTTTTCACTTCTGGACTGTCTAATTAAAATTTAAAAAAAAAAAAAAACACTTCTCTGTATGCACTAGCAGTGAGGCCCATTCTTATACTGTATGCGTCTTGTGAATAGGTCTGAATAAAATGGGATAAAAGTATATAGACTATTTACAACACACTAGTGATAATAACAGTCCAAATTATAATATAGAAAATATGTATAAAAACATCGTACATACTTTTTAAAGAGGTAGTAAACTCCACTTTGCAACTTTTACCTACAGGCAAGCTTATAATATAGCATATCTGTAGGTAAAATTATTATCTGCGAATGTACACCTTTCACATGTTTTGCAGCCAGAGAGATCTCTGATGCATGCACATTGCTCTCTGAAGAGACGGTATACTGAGTGTGCCATCCCTTCAGAGCACGGTGCTGTGACCCTGAACTCCATGCGCAAACACAGCAGTGGCATCATTGCGGTTTGGCCATTCAAAAGTTCACGAACCTGGAAGGAATGCAGGGGGGTAATGATGGAAGCTCTGTCAGAGGTGACAGTGCACCGCTGGAGGGCTTCCTTTTGAGGTAAGTATGTCATAACTTGCTAGTATACTATGCATACTACCCCATTATGCCATTACCTTGCAGGGGGCCTGCATTTTTTTGTCGCCATTACCTACCACTTTACATAGCTTTCATGTTATTTGACATGTTATTGGCCAGTAACCAGTATAGAAGATCCCATAGCTACAGTATATTATCAAAATGAAAAGGATAAGTTTCCCACTTGTGTCTAATTGTATCATTTGACAGACAGCATGACATGCAGTTCATCAATATAGGAGTAGCAAGATAGTAGTATGTGAGAGCAGCAAAAAAAAAACATGACGCAGATGGCTACGCCTTTAATGTTTGTGCAAAAGAAAGAGATAAATGGCATACTGCTCACCAAATAATGATTAAAATAAGGATAATACTAAGGGAGAAATTCAATGTAAGTGGTTAATACAAATTATGATTAGAATGATTAGAGCCTTCCACACATCTCCACAATTGTAAGCTGCATTGATCATACAGATAGTCATTGTCAGGAATGGACTCACCACTGGTGGTGCTGTGGCTCACTTGCTCTGTGGGTTGCAGTACCAGCTCCTACCAAAGGGTGCTTTCAGCAGCCAGGGTCTCACTCCTGCAATCAAGCCATCACCTGAGGCTGATTACAGGAGGTCTATTTAAGCAGGACCAGGCCTGCAATCAGTGCCTTGGTGTTTGTTTCCCATGAGCCCCTGTACTTGGTATCCTGTGAATCTTCTGTTGCCGACCTCTGCATTGTTCCTGACCCTGCTGACCGTCTCCTCTTTAACCCCTGGCTTGCCTGACCATCCCTCTGCCTGATCCTCTGTACTGCGCTGCCCGTGAGTTACTGAACCCGGCTTGTGACCCTGACCATTCTCTGCCTGCTCCTCCGGTACCTCGCGCCTGCACGTTGCTGACCTGGCCTGCCTGACTACGCCTTACGCTACCCAGACGATCCATCCATCCATCCCGCACAGATCTGTCCCTGTTACCAGGTCTGCCAGCCTCTTCACGTCAGGCTCCTTTCCCCACACACCTCTGACGACGCTCTCTACCATTGCCGGACATACTCAGGGGTCGCGACCTGGTCTCAGTGTGCTCCAAGTCCATCCCCACCATCAGGGGCCCTGGTGAATAAGCAGATTGGGACATAGACCCCGCGCCCTGAGGAACCCCGTGCTGTGGGCTGCTAGAGACGCCGCCAGGCAGTGCTTAACAGTACCAAACGGCCTGCCTGACCATTCCACCTCTCCAGCCCTGACTACACCTGTGTTCCCACACATTTCTGGTCATACCCGGATCCCTAACAGTCATATATAACTGTTTATTGATCAAAGACCATATTGCCATGCTGTATATATAACTTCAATATCCCTGCACAAAATAGTCAACATGGACACTAAGCTTAGGCTCTGCTGGACCAGAGTCAGACTGTGGTTCATAGGAGTAATGTCTGATGGAGGCGCAAACCTTGTAGGATTAAAGAGTAAGACCAGGTAAAACGTTTTTTCAATAAAGTGGGTACAGATTAGACTCCCTGTTGGGTTTTATTGCCATCCAGAGCTTTGTTAGAAAGATTTTACCTCACATAGTGTCAGGGAGACAAAGGTTTTACCAAAGAGTAATGAAGGGAAATCTGCTAAAGCGACAAAGAAAGAAAAACAAATCTGTCAAGACCACTCTAGCCTTCCCCTACTCTACTGTAAAAAAGCAATCATATTCCTTAAATTGCAACTTTTCCCTTTACTTCCTATATTGAAAAACCATTACAGTCAGTAATTGAGGGGAAATCTCTCTAGTAAAGCCCCGGATAGTTGTAAAAACTTAACAAGGGGTCTCATCCTTCCCAACTCCATCCAAAACTAAAAAAAAAAAAAAAACAGTTTTGGCTGTATAAACCAAACTTCTTTCTGCAGCCTTTTCCTCCAATCAGCTGGATTAGTATTTCATTAGTAATGGTTTACAAGCAATACTATAGCAGTCCCTAATGTTTGTACAAAAGTACATGGGGTTACACCACAGGGCAAGCAAAGGTTGCTGACTATCTTGGTTGGGCGTGCAGCAATAAAGTTCTTATTGACCAATTTGACTTACAGGAATGATGTATGGCAATGGCTGGAGATAAAATATTAATTCTGAATGGAGTTTATCTTTACAGTCCCAATGTAAGCACTTCAGTCCAACAACATCCTGTATGTTGGAGCCATGGTAGATGCAGGACAATTGTTCCCAAATTTGAATTTTATCCTGTCCAGTAGGTAGATTTAGCTTAAGAAGGTGAAAACATTTGGATCTGTTTGGAGTTATCAATCATTCACCTCATTCACCAATGCTGCAGGTCAAACCATGATCTACTTCTGTGCCATCTGAACCAGAATTGAGGGTTAAAAGTGAGCCACTTACATTTCGGCTGCGTCCATAACCTTCACGGCCTGTAAAAAGTTCCTCGCTGTAAGAACTTTCGTTATCACCATAGATGTCAGAGAAAGTTCCCTTCCTTTTTGTTTCTTCTTGTTCCTGCTGTAAATATATGGAGAAACTCTGGTCAGAAAATGATGATACAGAACACTTGTTCTCAATTTACCAAATTCACCTAATTTTCATCTATATCTGAGATTTTGACCCCAGTTACTGTAGTGGATAAACAGTGAACAGCTTTTATTATTTACATAAATGTTCAAGAAATGTGAAGAGTGAAGTCTCTGATGCTCTGTATCTTGGAGTACATTACAGGCCACATGGGAGAATACCCATAGACCCTGGGTTATAGGCTGCTACCTTCAGGTGACTGGACACTGGCAAAGCTTTTGGACCCCTCCTGAGTGTACCCTCTCTTTGAGACTTTAGTTTGTTAGCAAGCAATGCAGAGTAACACAGGAACAGAGAGTGCTGTGTGTCCTGTACTGTACTCCAGGATATAAACTTTACAGGTAAGTTGAAATTCCTTTTATCTTAAATGTACAATACAGAACACAGGCTAGATATTCATAGACCCTGGGACATCCCCAAGCAATGAATCAGAAGACTGGGCAAGGGCAAGAAGAATTATGCCAACGGATCCAACAAAACAGAAGCAGATCCAAGACCCAACTCAGAGTGCCAAAAGCTAAATCCAGCTAAAAGCTGCATTCACAGAGGCCTGTACATCCACCTGGTATTAAAAAACTTGTGAATTTAAGACCAGTTGGCAGCCGCAAAAAGCTGAGTAACAGATGCCTGATGGAAGAACGCCCATGAATCCCCCACCAATCTTGTGGAGTAGGCACGTAAGGGAGGTACCATGTCATTTAGAACAGCCTTTTTCAACCAGGGCACTGTGGCACCCTGCGGCGCCTTTTGGTTTTTCAGGGGTGCCTTGGCAAAATGCTTAAAAATTTACCCAGGTTGCCCTGAAATTGACAAGAAGCCATCAGGTGTATCAAGTGAGTCTTTTTTTATACAAACCCACAGCTTTTTACTGTGCAGCATTACAACCTTAAACCTTGCACGATAAATACCACTTTTGAAGCGACCATATGTTAAATTGATAGTTAGTACACAGTTTGACAGCCGATCATGACAGTTCATCCAAAATTATCTGAAGGGACAAACATGAACATTTTTCCTGTACGATACCAGATTGCACGATTTTTGTTTAATCAGTACAGTTTTGGTCCAAAAATCAATACAAATACAATACAGTACATTGCATCACTTCTGAAATTCTATTCCGTCGTACAAGAATTTTCATAAGTTGAGTAAGCTCTTCATTTTCAATATGGAAACTAGCATGAAAAATATGAACTAGCAAGAAAAAACGGATGATCATTCGTCTGATATTCTCATTGTGTGTACGAGGCTTAAGGCACTGTGCGGGCTGGCTGCCGACATCCTAACAACCGATGATGTCATCAGTTCATAAGGGTCAGTTCATAAGGAGGACTTCTGGTGCCTACACAACATCCTAGTTTGCCCTCCCCCTCTCCATTAGCACTGGTGTTACATTAGCTGAGTGAGGGAGAGAAACTGAGGGAGAAGTTGTTTTTGACATGTAAAAATAAATCACTTCTAATTAAATAAATCACCTGTTAGGTGTCCTACATGTGTGGATGCTGCTGTGATGTTGAAAACTATTAATTTAGTTTTTTACATTTTTGAAAGGAGTGTCTTAACTGAAAATAAGGTTGAGAAACACTGCTTTAAAGTATCGGCTCTCACAGAGAGCGGTCTTATTCTAATGACAATAAAGGACTTGGAGATAGGGTGTCCTTTTCTAGACCCTGCAGGCAGGACAAAAAGAGAGCCTATTTTCTGTATAAAATCTGCAGATTTCAGATATACTCTGACAGCCCTGAATACTTCTATACAATATAAAGCAATCTTTTTGAGTTGTTTAAAGTGTTACTAAACCCACAACAGTACAATCAGTCTGTATATGCAGTAAAGCATGCTTGTTATACTCACTGTGGACCCTAGGGGGTTAATCCTCTGCATTTTGTAAAAAGGCTGTTTGATCCTGCCTTCTCTGCCCCTCCTCTTGTTGAAATGTCCACCTGATACAGACTGAACCTGTGATCACATGCACATGCTCAGTTTGGTGTGTATTGCTAAAGAGGTTTTTTTTTTTTTTTTTTTTTCTTGGGAGGGTGCATGTGATCAGCACAGGGTCAATCAGCACTTTCCAGACAGAGGGTCAAGGGTTTCACATCCTCCTAGAGCAGAAAGAAATCTACAAGCTTTAACCAGTGCTCTGCTGAAGTCACAAGACTGCTGTAACTGCTGATGAGAAAAGGTATTTAGCAGTTTGTATTTACTAAAATAATTGCATTTCCATGTTCTGTGTACTGTGGGAGACCAGATATAGTGAATGCAGGGCCCTGGGTTTAGTATCACTTTAAGAGCAGGGCACAAGGAAGGTAGGAAATATCTTCATTAAGGTGGAAGGCTGATTACACCTTGGGGAAAAAGGAGAGATGTTTACATAAGACTACTTTGTTCCTGTGAAGGATTAGGAAGGGCTCCTTACATGAGAGGGACACGTCTGACTGATGTGGTCATCAATAAGGCCACTTTGCAGGAGAGATCACCCAAGGGGAGTTCTCCAGTGGGTTCAGAGGGTGGCTTGTACAGGGCAGAGAGGATCAGATTGGGATCATAAGAAAGCACATGGTGCTGTAATGAAAATCTGATCAATGAGAAACACTGAATAATGTTTTTTTTACAAAGGAGAAAGAAGTCAAGGGTGTTTGCAATGGGATGGGCAAGACCAAAACCTGCTCCTTAAGAGTCCTAATTGCAGAAAAGCCATTCAAAATAAGAATCTCTAGATACAGTAGTACATTTTTCTTTAAAATGTCATCTCTGGTCTTAAGTAACGTGGAAATGAGGAAGTCAGATATATCCTAGTCCCTCAAGACCTGGATTTCAAGAGCCATACCATTAGAGCTAGTGACTGAGAAGCAGGATGGTTTAGAGTGCATTGGGACAGCAGGTATGGCCTATTTGGAGGGCGTCAGGGATAATTTTCTTGGAGTTTGAATATGTCTGTTCTAACCACCAATCTCTGCAAAATGTGCTGTACACTTACACACTCCTGGCCCCTTCTTCTACTGTTTATCTTTGGCTTGAGATTTACACATATCTGAGTTGTGTTCCTCAGTGTGTCCCAGGGTGCCCCAAGTCTTTCACAATCCTAGAAATGCCCTTGATGTCGGTTAGAACATAGTGATCACATGCAGACTGGAGGCTTAATTGACAAAATAAGCCTTCAGCCTGTAGATGTCACTGGAGCCTGAAAGTTACAGTGTGCATCTATTTAATACGGTAATTGTCAACTACAATAGCGGAATAAAAAAATGAATGCTTTTTTTTTTTTTTTTGCACACTGGCTGGTTTATAATTAAAGGAAAACAGAGCAGGCGTTTTCTTTAAAACACTATACCAAATAATATCTTACATGTTCTTAAAAAATTATAATGTATTTAAGTATGCAAATTGGTCAAAGAGTTGAGTCAAGCAGTTGTGGTTGCTGGTCAAAGAGTTGTTGTAACCAATACCTGCTGACACTGCTACATTTTTTCTGAATATCTGGTACCTCTGGTCATGAAAGTATCAAATCATTCCACTACATTATAGGCACACAGGAAAGTTTTATCGATCTCCCTACCTTGGCAAGCATCTCTTGTTCTCTCATCTTCTGTTTCATCTGCTGTACTCTCTTTGCCTTCTTTCTCTCCAGCAGAGGTACGATTTTCTCATCAGTCAGTAGGCTCCGGAATTCACAGAAATCAGGCCAAAACTTGAACATGATACTGAAGATTGTCATCTAGGTGCAAAAATACACACAAAGCTTAATATTTTGGTCCAGTGGGCCTTAGTTGCTATACAGCCCTGATTATATTAGGTAGAAGTCAATCAATGCAATAGGCTCAATTGGCAGAGCTTGCATACTCATATAAGTGTTGTTACATTGACAGGAACATAAGAAGCCATTTCTTCTCTATCCTGGACACATTTCTGTATTTCAAGAAGGAGAACAGAATATAGACAACCATGAGATAATTCCCCCCATTCCCCCTGCAAAGGTGAACTGGACAGCACTGATAAGAGTGTTTAACATAACACTGCAGAGTGGGATAAACAGGTATTTTTTGCAATTATTAAATGAATATAACAAAACGCTTTAATTTGTATATTTAACCAAAAGAGCGCAAATAGGAGACATTCATTGTTAGGGTTTAGATACATTTTGTAGTCAGAATGTAACAAATGAGAATTAATAAGTCACTTTTTCTTAACTGACCTGTGCTTCCCGAAACACATAAGGCCCCAGATCTCTGCGTCGTTCTAAAATCTTTTCTGCTTGTTCTGGAGGAATGTCTATCTGCAGTGCTGGAGGGATGGATGAATTGATAAAACAATTGATGATAGCTGTGATCTTGTTTTGGATGGTAGCCTCATCACAATGGGAATGACAAAGTTCCTGGAAAACAGGCACCAGCCACCAATGAAATAGGAGTATACTTTAAGATAGTAAAATTTTTGGGGGTTTTTTTAACCACTTGCCCTCCTGAGGATTTACCCCCCTTAATGACCAGGCCTCTTTTTGCTACTCGGCGCTGCACTAATTCAACTGATAATTGCGCGGTCATGCAATGCTGCACCCAAATGAAATTTACGTCCTTTTTTTCACACAAATAGAGCTTTCTTTCGGTGGTATTTGATCACCTGTGCGCTTTTTATTTTTCACGCTATAAACAAAAAAAGACCCAAAAATTTGAAGAAAAACAATATTTTTTTACTTTCAGCTATAAAAAATATATAGTAAACTTAAAGTTGGTTATAAATTTAGCCTAAAATTTATTCTGCTCCATGTTTTTGGTAAAAAAAATCCCAATAAGTGTATATTGATTGCTTTGTATGAAAGTTGCGCGGTCATGCAATACGGTACATAAATTAAATTTATGTCCTTTTTTTCCCACAAATTGAGCTTTCTTTCGGTGGTATTTGATTGTGCGTTTTTTATTTTTTGCGCTATAAAAAAAAAAATGGCTGACAATTTTGAGGAAAAAAATATATATTTTGGACTTTTTGCTATAAAACATGTCCAGTAAAAAAAAATGTAAAAATCAAATTTAGTCATAAATTTCTGCCAAAATGTTTTCTGCGACATGTCTTTGCTAAAAAAAAAACCCCAATACGTGTAAATTAATTGGTTTACGTGAAAGTTATAGCGTTTACAAATGGCGGGAAAGATACTGGGATTTTTAAAAAAAATTTTTATATTAATAATGGCGGCGATCAGCGACTTATGGTGGCGATCAGTGACTTATGGCAGGACTGCGGCGGACATTCTGACACTAAGGGCGAACTGACTTGGGGTCACTGACATCCCCAGTGACACCAATACAGTGATCAGTGCAAAAAGAAAACACTGACACTGTACTAATGGCACTGGGGAGGAAGGGGTTAACTTTTTTATTTACTGACAGGGTTAACTGTGTGAGGGGAGTGTTTTACTAGGGGGCGGGGGTGTGTACTGCACGGGAACACGCTGATCCGAGAGATAAACTCTTCTCTCCAGATCAGCATGTCAGGAGCAGACAGGGGACTGACAGTGATTGCCACTAATCGCTGGGACACGGTTGGTAATGACCGGCCGTGACCCGGCAACTGACACCTGTGGCCGTGATCGGCAGGACAGGTAGGGTGGGCACACGCCTCGCGCGCGCGCCCCCTACCTGTTTTTGCAAACGCATGTTTTAAAAACGTGGTTTTTTGCCCAGCCTTGCCGACCTGCCACCGTATTTCTACAGTGGTTGGTCGGCAAGAAGTTAACCTAGTATTGAATATAGAAAGGGAAGGTATAAAGTGAATATACTATATTAGTATCCCAGTTTCAAGATTTGCACTTGTATTAGTTCTGACCTGGCCTTTTATGGCATTTGTCTTGACTTTCATCGAAAACGACAGAGCAGGGGCAGCTTTGGATAGCAGAGAGGGACACAATGACAGAGCAGATATCAAAACAATTGTAGATCTGTTTTATACAAAAAACTTTATAGACCTAGATTTTGTTGCACTAAAAGCACAGCATACAATATTTTTCAATTTACAGATTTGACTTCTAAAATTATATTGTCTTTGTATCTCAAATGTTAACCAGAGACAACAAAACCAGTGAAATTCCCCTCCATATCAATATTAAAGCCTCACTGTGATCTATACCTACTAAGGAAGTGGTGGGCAATTTATATGATTTTTGGAACTTCAACCCTAGCCATGGAAGAATGTGCCGGCCCATAATTTTGCTTGCAACAAAGGTAACTGACATATAAGAATATGTCTAGAACAAATATTAAAACTATTGATGCAGGATCTTTGGGTTGCTGACAAATGGCTCATTTATAAAACACTAAAATTAGTAGGTTGCAAATATGGAGATAGATAACAAGAGGTTAATTTCTTGTTGCTAAGTAATCAAAATTGGCATTGAACATTTAATACTGCATATGTAAAATGTGATTTTATTTTTATAAAAATGTAAGGAGCCTGTGACCCATCATTATTGTACCCTCAATGTCCTGTATGCCAGCAGTGATTTGAGTAATATGTCTAAGGGCTTTTATTTGTGTTTGAGCTTCTTAACCACACAACAGAAGTTAATGTAAATGCAAAAGAAAGTCAAAGTGACTCAGAAACAGCTTGAAGCAATCTCTTTAGAAGCTGAAAGGCAAACAAATGCAACCTAACTGTGAGTTAAAGTGTCTCACAAGCAGGGGCGGACTGAGTATTTGGAAACTCGGGCACTGCCCGAGGGCCCAGGGTCAGTAGGGGGCCCCATGAGATGCCCCTGGTACCTTTTTCATAGGCTTTTTTCAGTTTGGGCAAGGACACAGGGGCCTCATGATCCCCTATTGCCCGGGGGCCCCATGAGTTGCTCGCAAGCACCAGAAAGTATACTACATTTGGCTCATTTCTTTTTTTTCATAATAAAATTTGAAATGAAAACAATATACATCAATGTACTTTAAATAAAGTTCAAATGTGTACAAATAAGATAAATTACCTGTAATACAGCAAATGTTGGTGTATAAAAACTTGACTCATTTATAATTCCAAACCTTATATACACAGGGCTCCTGCAGAGCTACTGTTGTCTGTAAGACAGTTGTTGCTCAATCTGCAAGATTTCAGCAAGCTCAGGGGAAAATTGTGTTTTCTTGGCACTTTTGGTCTTCTCCAAATGGATGATAGATCTTAGGGTAAACATCCAGCTTATGGTCTTAATTTTCTGACACTGGGTATGTCTGAACACAGGCAAGCTTGTGTTCATGTCCTTGTTGGCATACTGAGACACAGTTCAGTATTCATCTGTACTGAGGTTCAATATACTAAAGCTTTGAGAACTGGCTAACAGATCTAGGTACTTCTGCTATTTACACATTGATTTTGATGCCGTTAAAAATACACATAAGATTGTTTTAAGATATAAAACGATGAAGTCAAGTCTTTGGAAATAATAAATGTTTCACATGCTGAGTGTAGAGTTAACAGACATACCTTATACTTTTGCACTTCCTGCCAAAACAGCAGTCCATTTTCAAAGAAATCTCCCTTGAGAGATATAAAACGCTGGAACTGGCTTGCAGTGATGGTGTTCAGTAAAGCTTTGCGGAATGCGATAATTTCTTTGGAGGATGATATCCATTTACTGTCTAGGTGCTGTAAGGAAAACAAAAAAATTGAACACAATATTTTGCAATATCTGATGTGTAGTACATAAATGATTATATGTCCCATCTATTTACACTGTCGGCATCCACATATGTAGGAAATTGCCTTATCAAAAACACCCAGTGGTGCACCTGCAAGCCCAAACAAATGGTTTCCCATGCTCCTCTGCTACTGGTAACTGACATTAAAATATGTTTATTCTCCCATAAGGCAATACCGACCAGAAATTCTAAAACTTTATCCCTCCACCTGCCAGGCAAGTACTTCCAATGGACTTTAGAAAACACTGCTTCAATATATAATTTCATGCAGAAAATCTTTTTTACTGCTGCTGACCAAAAGCACAAATTTTCAAGCAGTAACAGCTTTTATCTTTAAAGGTGCCGTAAACTGATTGAGACATAAGGAATCCATTGGTAATAGTCAAAAACACTGCAACTTTTTGGCCCTACCCAGACAACATACAATTTTGTCACACACATTGTTAAAAGGACTCCAGGAATCCAGGATACATCTCATCACATAAGAACATACCATGTATACCCACTTTATAAAAAGAAAAAAAAAAAAGATTAGGTACTCACATGATTCTTCTTTTAGCTGACACTAGACCTACCATTAATTCACTATACAGGCAGTACTATGTGGGCACTCCCAATTCATTTCTATTATTTGTACATAACTGACTTTATATATTGAGGTTTTGTAAAGTACAAAAAGGTGTAAGAAAACACAACGAACTGGATGATTTCTTATAGCATACAATAAATATATCAAAGTACAGTGTTATTCAGAGCAGCAACCTCAATAAAAAGGATATCAATTTGCTTAAAGACAAGGTAAGGCACATAGATTGACTTTAAAAAGTAGAGTAAAAGCAAGCGCTAAAACCTAAAGCAGCTGAACACTAAAAAGGTAAACCATATGCCTTCAATAAAATCTGATAAAATGGTAGTGCAGAGCTAAAAACAATCTAAAATAAATTCACAAAATATAAACGAATAAATAAATGCACGTTAATAATGGGTGCGTTGTGATCATATAAAAATACTCGCACAATGGTTATAGGTGTGTTGTGTGATTTTACAAATGCATAAAATAATGTATAAAATCAAATTGCAATATACATAATAAACGCATATGCGTAAAATGCATTATAATCATAAAATGTCCTAAAATCCTAAAAGACAGATCTCCAGATGACTCAGTTGGATCCCAGTGTGCATATAGTCCTCAGGTGTGTGTGCCGATAAATATATACAATGCGCACTCATCAGATGCGCTAATAAAAAGCGCATTGTATCATGTATTGGCAATCAGCCACGGTTCCTTCTAAGGGTAGTCCGGGATGCAGCCTGGGGGTGGATGGCCTTCCTTTGGTAACAGGATTGAAATAGCCAATATAGATAGTTCAGCCTCTACCAGGCACTGGGACGGTCAATGGGGATCGCTAGGGAATTAAGGTACTCAATGCAGAGCGAAAGAATAGGGATAATCCCAAAGTGTAGTATTTTCAATGGTACTTTAATAGTAATAATGAATAAGGAATGAATCCAAAAAGAATGTACAAAAACTGCAGTATATGGCAGGAGAAATATAATGACAATTGCTTGACGTCAGCATCTTGCAGGGGCTCTTCCTTGACGCGTTTCGTACTACAAGTACATTGTCAAAAGGGGTATGCCTATGTGACATATGTGAGTACTTATGTGAGGATAAAGAAAGACCCTACAAATAAATATACGGAGGTTTTGAAAACTCTAGTCAATTGGGGATACAGGACCAGAGTGTTGAGTAAGAGAGAAAAACATTATTTGATACCTAGTGTGAGTAGGATTCGAATTATCTACACTCTCCCTAAGATCCATAAAGATAAGAACAATCCGCCTGCCAGACCTATTGTCAATGGTATTGGTTCAGTTTCTGCGAGACTGGGCCAATACCTAGATGTATTTTTACAATCTAGTGTATCATCAACTAAAGCTTATCTACGTGACACCAAGCATTTATTGAAATTCCTTACTGAAACTCAGATTAACAATTATTCTAAGATTTATTTAGTTACGGCGGATGTATCATCCTTATACACCATCATACAGCATGATGATGCCCTACTAGCACTTAATTGGCCTTGAGTAGGAGGGAAGACATTCCTTACAATCAAAAGAAATTTTTAAGAGATGCTCTCGAATTTTGTTTGTCTCATAATTATTTTTGGTACAGTAATGAATTTATTTTCTCAAAAGAGGGAGGATAGGTTTGTCTTCCACCATCAGCATGAGCAGGTATTGCTATACAAGAGATTTATTGACGATATGTTCATGATTTGGGCAGGAGAGGAGGTAGAATTATTGAGTTTCCTTGACGGGTTAAATAATAATCCTAATAATATCAAGCTGGAATATCAATATAGCACTGATGCTGTACATTTCTTGGATCTTACTATCTTTAGGGAGGAGGATGTATTGTTAACTAAAACTTACTTTAAACCCACTGACCGGAACAGTTATCTGCCGTGGTTCAGGTTACATCATCCCCAGTGGTTTAGGAATTTACCTAAAGGCCAGATTATGAGACTGAGGAGAAATTGTTGTCAAGAGAGTGATTTTCTTGCTCAGTCTGATATTATAGTGAACAGGTTTGTGGATAAAGGTTACAAAATAGGCAAACTTAAGGATACAGTCAGACAAGTACATAAATTACCCAGAGACCAATTACTAATGGATAAGCCTAAATTGGATTCTGATGATAGACATCAATGGGGATTTATATCTAACTATCATATACAATATAAAGATGTTGAGGATATTGTTTACAAATACTGGCACATATTGAGGATGGATAAGGTATTAGGGATGTTTATTCCTGATAGACCTATATTTATATATAGGAAGGCTCCCACCATTGGAGATAAAATAGTCCAAAAAATCCTAGATCCCCTAAGCCCATAAAAATGTTTGTGGATAGAAAAGGTTTCTATTCTTGTAAAAAGTGCTCTGCTTGTCGTAAGTTTAACCACTTGCCTACCAGGCACTTATACCCCCTTATTTACCAGGCCAATTTTCAGCTATCAGCGCTGCCGCACTTTGATTGACAATTGCGCGGTCATGCAACATTGTACCCATATGAAATTTTGACCATTTTTTTCTCACAAATAGAGCTTTCTTTTGGTGGTATTTAATCGCCACTGGGCGCTTTACTTTTTGCGCTATAAATAAAAAAAGTGCAAAAAATTTGAAAAAAAAAAAAAAGTTTCTTTGTTTCTTTTATAAAATTTTTCAAACAGGTATTTTTTCTCCTTCACTGATGTGCGTTGATGAGGCAGCACTGATGGGCACTGATAGCGGCACTGATGGGTACTGATAGGCAGCACTAAAGGGCACTGGGCAGTACTAATGAGGTGGCACGGATAGGCGGCACTGATAGACAGCACTAATGAGGTGTCACGGATAGGCGGCACTAATATGCAGCACTGATAGGCGGCACTGATAGGTGACACTGATGATGGGTACTGATAGACGGCACTAACTGGCATCACTGATGGGCACTGACTGGCGGCACTGACTGGCACAACCCCTGGGCACTGACTGGTGGCACTGACTGGCAGCACTGCTGGGCTGCACTGGTGGGTGGCACTGGTGGGCAGCACTGGTGGGTGGGCACAGGTGGGTGGCACTGGTGGGCACAGGTGGGTGGGCACAGGTGTGTGGGCACAGGTGGGCACAGGTAGGTGGCACTTGTGGGCACAGGTAGGTGGCACTGCAGAGTGGCACAGGTGGGTGCACTGCTGGGCACAGGTGGGGGCACTGCTGGGCACAGGTGGGTCCACTGCTGGGCACGGGTGGGCAGAGCTAGTGGGCGCACTGCTGGGCACAGGTGGGCGGAACTTGCGGGTGTCACTGCTGGGCACCGATCATCAGGGCACTGATGATCAGTGCCCTGATGATCGGTGCCGATCCCCGCTCTGACAACTTCCGGTTCTCGGCAGTACTTTCCTCACAATCTGACAGCGTGAGGAAAGTGCAGCCGAGAACCGGCAACTTGCATTTCCCTCTGATCAGCGTGTCATTGGACACCGCTGATCACGTGGTAAAAGGCCGCTGTGATTGGCCTTTTACCACATCACGTGATCAGCTGTGTCCATAGGACACAGCGATCACGGAGATCGCCGGGTGCGTGCCCCCTGGGGCGCGCAGGAGAGCGCGTTCTGGGAGGACGTCATATGACGTCCACCCAGAACTGGCCAGCCGCAGTGCAGCCGTCATTCGGCTATCTGCGGTCGGCTACTAGTTAAAGGATTAAACAAATTTAGCTCCAAATCTAATGGAAGAGAGTTTGATATCACATCATTCTTGACATGTGAATCTACTTATGAGGTGTATGGTTTAGAGTGCCCATGTGGTTTAATCTACATTGGGAGAACTAAAAGGCAGTTAAAAGTTAGAGTACTGGAACATTTAAAGAATATTATGAAAGGATACAAATAGCACAGTGTATCTTTACACTACAAGAAATATCATAACAGTGATCCAACTAATATTACATTTTTGGGTATATAATCTATCCCTAGGGTTTGGAGGGGATCTAATAGAATTAGGGAATTGTCCAAGTGTGAAACAAAATGGATATATATGACTGAAGCTTTATCTCCGAATGGTTTAAATGTCGAATTAGACTTAAATTGTTTCGTTAGTGATGCTTAATTTAATTATTTCATATACCGGTATATAATATTTTTATATATATATTTTCTGCTTTTTACATAATTTTTGTAATGTTTATTTTATGTTTAGAATTCTTATTTATTGATTATTGATGTATTTTAAATTAATTTAAATTATTGAGTCTAGGTTATGCTTATTTTAATTATCCTGCTGCTTTATATAATTTAGACACAAGATGGTGCTGTTGTGAGGAAGCAGTGTGGTTAGCCTATTGAGGAATCTGACCATCCGCACCATTCATTTATATTATATTTATGCCTTCAGGTGTTATTCATTAAAGTGACCAATGAGAAATGAGGCGGCACTTTAAGAGCACGCTCCACATGCTGCTTACCACTCCCTCAGACGACCTCGTATGATGTAATACGTTAGGGCGTGGTTAACCAGTGACATCACCACGCATGCCAACCCACGTGTCTGGACCACGTGACTGCAACAGTGCCATCTTGGTTGCAGGCAGGCTGGTGAGACGCTGCTGACAGAGCTGGAAGCTCTTATGTGTTGAGGATTTTTTACAAATGCTTGAAATTTATTGACTCTATGTGAGTGCGGTTTTAAAAGGGTGATATTTGAACAAATTGTTTACATACGTTATTGCACTATGGCGAGTATTTTTTATTTTACCTACATGTACTATATGGAGTTGTTTAGATATCTCTAAGCTGGAGAGAGCTAAGCTGCGGAGTGTTGGATATACAAAGATATGCTGGTTATTCACCAGCTTTTAGTGAGTGTGCATTCTGATGGGGTGTTAAAGCAATGGATTTTGCACTGGTGATGGAAGACTTCATAGCTTCATTTACTGAGGATCATATGCAATATTTATGTGTGGACTTTACTGAATGGACTCTATGAGGACTCTTTATTTATTTATAATTTAATTAATAATGCACATATTTGGTGGTGGATTTACTAATTTCTTTAAGGGTAGCGCTATTATTTGTGGTCAGTCTTTATATTTTATTATATTTAATTTTATCACATCTTGGATAATAATTTGCAGTGGGTTAATAGTAGCAGCTCCCATTCTAAAATATTGTGGTATTTTATTTAATCTATGGGCGCGATGACTTAAATCTTGTGGTGTTTGAGTGCGAATGAGACAGACACCTTTCAGGATTTACACATATCCAAAAAGTTATCTATATTGGCTATTTCAATCCTGTTATCAAAGGAAGGCCATCCACCCCCAGGCTACATCCCGGACTACCCTTAGAAGGGACCTGTGGCTGATCGCCAATACATGATACAACATGCTTTTTATTAGTGCATCTGGTGAGTGCGCATTGTATATATTTATCGGCACACACACCTGAGGACTATATGCACACTGGGATCCAACTGAGTCATCTGGAGATCTGTCCTTTAGGATTTTAGGACATTTTATGATTATAACGCATTTTATGCATATGCATTTATTATGTATATTGCAATTTGATTTTATACATTATTTTATGCATTTATAAAACCACAACGCACCTATAACCATTGTGCGAGTATTTTTTATATGATCACAACGCACCCATTATTAACGTGCATTTATTTGTTTATATTTTGTGCATTTATTTTAGATTGTTTTACCATGCACTACCATTTTATCAGATTTTATTGAAGGCATATGGTTTATCTTTTTAGTGTTCAGCTGCTTTAGGTTTTAGCGCTCGCTTTTACTCTCTACTTTTTAAAGTCAATCTATGTGCCTTACCTTGTCTTTAAGCAAATTGATATCCTTTTTATTGAGGTTGCTGCTCTGAATAACACTGTACTTTGATATATTTATTGTATGCTATAAGAAATCATCCAGTTCGTTGTGTTTTTTCTTACACCTTTTTGTACTGTACAAAAACTCAATATAAAGTCAGGTATGTAAAAATAATAGAAATGAATTGGGAGTGCCCACATAGTACTGCCTGTATAGTGAATTAATGGTAGGTCTAGTGTCAGCTAAAAGAAGAATCATGTGAGTACCTAATTTTTTTTTCTTTTTATAAAGTGGGTATACATGGTATGTTCTTGTGTGATGAGATGTATCCTGGATTCATTTGGAGATTGCATTAAAAATATATAAGGCAAAATAAGCTTGTTAGAAAAACAAAAGTCCTCTGGAGATCTGTCTTTTAGGATTTAAGGACATTTTATGATTATAACGCATTTTATGCATATGCGTTTATTATGTATATTGCAATTTGATTTTTTACATTATTTTATGCATTTGTAAGACCACAACGCACCTATAACCATTGTGCGAGTATTTTTATAAGATCACAACGCACCCATTATTAATGTGCATTTATTTATTTGTTTATATTTTGTGCATTTATTTTAGATTGTTATTAGCGCTGCACTACCATTTTATCACATAGATTGATTGTTCAGATGATGCAGGTCCAACACAATAAGAATTTTGTAATAGACAACATTTCACTTTCTCTAAAGCACTAGACTTATAGAATGCATGTGCTTTTTCACAGCAAGGTTATCTCACACAATGGTGTTCTCAAAATCTTGAGTCAATGGGCAAGTTTAGAAGGAGAGCTCTTTGCCATATCCATCTGGGCAAACATACCGGATACACAGCACAAACCTCTAAAGGCTGGAAAAATTCATTGATAAGTTTGCTCACATTGGGTTCTCATGAAAGTGCCACAACATCTAGACCTTGTTTAACTACTTATGAGGGTCATGAAGGCATGCAGTAAGGTTTTCCATGAGTTTGGCATCTCTACTTCCAGCACTTAGTTCTGTGAGAGTGGGTGGTTGTTTTTTTTTTTTCTTCTATTAAGGGTTTTCAGGCATCTAGATGCAGTGAGTATATAAGATAACAGATTTTTTGCATGTTTGGAAAAGTTTGGTAGGCGCCAGCTAAAAAAAAAACATTTTAGGGTTCATGGGGATCCGTGTATCAAAGATACAATGAATGAACAGATTCCCAGAAAACGTTAATGTACAAATACAGTGCTGAAAATTTTTGAATGGCAAAAACAAAATTGATGGAAATAAATTCCTACAAACTGAATCCCCCTGGCTGAAATGATTGTTTGTTACTGTGATAATGTTGCCCAGTAATGGCAGTGTTCGTATCTCACAACAGACTTGACTATTTCACCAAAGTGTGTTGCGCTCCTTATTATTTTATAATATCTCTTTAGTACTTACAGACTTGACTAGGCCTCGGAAAGCAACCTGGATTATTTTGGGATCTATTTGATTTTACAACTATAAATTTGAAGTTACTGCTAGCACACAAGATATTATATTGAATAAAGTCAGTTTAAAAAAATCTACCTTCCATACTCCCAGTTTCTTCTTGTTTGTTTGTGATATAACATCCTCTGCCACATCTTTCATCTGTGACTGGAGACAAATCAAATACACTATTATAATATATTATATAAGTATTCACAATTTTTATATACAGTTGTTACAAAAAAGTTTCAATATTTTAGCTACCACAGAATCTGTCACACTAATACAACAATGGACATCATGGTATTATTCTTCGGGATTAACATAGTGCCAACAAACAGTTTAAGCACAACATAACAGTAAAACTGCATGCTAGACAAATTCACTGGTTGATTTCCACACCTCACTTATCAATCAAAATCCTTCACTGTAAACTTTGTGGATGAATTTCTCCACGGTCTCTGCAGCTACACAGATCAGTTAGTTTTAAAGCTCATTTACTGCTTAAATGTTCACGCCCTGGTCAGAGTAATCCTAGGGGAGATAAAATCAATAAAGGATTTGAAATAATCAATTAATTAGCTACATGCAGGTAATAAGTAGGAGAAGGTATGATGAAATATCACCACTCTTTATATAAATATACCTATATTTAATTTATATATGCTAATAAAATAATATACAAGAGAAGCAATGTTACTGGAACATGGGTTTCAGCAGTTATAACAGTGACGTGGCCACATGCTCTGGTATCCTGCCTTCACCAGTAAGCTTCCCTTGGTGCATGTACCTCTCTGTACAGCCTAATGGCTCCCCTTTTTTTACCACACCTGTCATTAATTATTACAGAAAACCTCACACTACTAATGTCCCTATTGTTAGTAAAGGATAGCTGAAGGGAAGATGATGAGCAGGATCCCTAAGCAAGGTGAGTGAGAGATGATATTGCTAAATGTTCAAGGGAGTACCTTCTCAGTTCTTGATGCCAGTCCCTGAGGGTAATATGTGAAAATGTATTACATAAACAAAGTGTGTTTCTTACTTGCATCCTCTGGCGTTCCCTGTATTCTTCTGTTGACAGGAACATAGGAAGCCATTTCTTTTCTATCCTCATCCGAACATATTTCTGTATTTCAACGAGGACAGCAGAGGATAGACGATCATGAAGAATTTTCCCCCAGCCCCCTGCCAGATTCATCACCTGCAGAAAATGATGAGTACATGGGTGGCTGTCATTTTCTGTGTTAGGTTAAAGTGTTCAGAAATGGAAGAACATAACATGAGGTGGATGTACTAAAGGCATAGAGACTGTATACTTTGCAAGTGCAGTTGCGCACATTTTCCCCAGAGCTTAGTAAATGAGGTATGGCTTTGTAGATTGCCATCATCCAGTTATGTGTAAGCAAAAATGCTGTTTTTTTTTATTTTCCTTGCACCTGATTGGGTATTCTTTACAAACTGAAGCTTCACCACATTCACTAAGCAATTAGAAAAATGAGTGCAACTGCACTTACAAAGTGCACAGTCTATTTGTCTTTAGTAAATCCGCCCCTTTATCTTGCAGAAAACACATTTACAAATGATATTGCAGCTTACAATCCAAACAAGTCTAATCTTTTGCTAATGTTCTTTGATCAGTAATGTCTGTGATTTATAGTGTTTAATTAGATTAATAGAAGATCTCCTAGGCATTATATAATTCTAGTTTAATCTTAAAGTAACACTAAACTATATCCTTATTCTGAAAACATAATCCATACACATTAATTACACATCAGCTGTTTTTCTGCCTCCTTGTAACATTCTCCATGAGCTCCTAAACCTCTTCCTTTCCTCCTCACGTCTGTTTGTTTGGATTGAGCCGTGCACATGTGAACTGCTCTGTGCACATTATAAATCCCAGAGTTCACAGTCCCTAGGACATCTTGGGAGTGGGTAAGACGGGGTAGCTACAGGACCATGGAGAACAAACATAACCACCCTCTAACAGGAAGTCTATAGGGAAAGGGTGGGTTATAAGATAGCTTCACTCTGCTTCGATGGTAATCACATAAGGAGGTCTGTGGGGTGAGGGGCACCTGCTTGTGATTCAATAGTTGTCTATTTGGGAGAGCCAATCCACCTAACTATTTGAGAGCATAGAATGTAATTTCTCCTTAATTAGACCGGGAGATATACAGTATACCAGATCCTAGAATTAGATCTTTAACTTTTCAATTTCCTCAAGAACTACCATGGCCTAATATGTTTACTCATCAATCTGACCATTTTCTATACATGTTTTATACTCTAAATGTTGAGAACAAAAAGAATTCTCCCTGCAAGGTAAAGATATAATGTGCTAGTATACATTGATTAGTACATTATGAAAGGCTTACCTTGAAACGAAGCCCTCCAGCGGTGGGCTGTCCCCGCTGCAGAAGCTTCCATCTTCACATGGCCTTCCTTCCAGGTTTGTGGGCTGCGGCTGCTTGAATGGCCGAGCTATGATGACGTCACTCCAGTGCATGTACGCAGGTGTCATGGCTATGTCAGTGAGCTCTGAAGAAATGGCATGGGTATGCCGTTCCTTCAGAGCACATGTGCCTGTGACATCACTGGCTGGGGATCACTAGAATATCTCCTAAATAGTGCACATTTAGGAGATATTCATTTAACCTTCAGGTAAGCTTTATTATAAGCATACATGTAAGTAAAAATAAAAATAGAGTGTTTACTACCACTTTATTACAGCAATTACCTAAGTAAAACTCTCAATACTTTACTTCTCTACCATGCAACTTTACAGAGAAAAGAATTATTTGGTCATCTCTTACCTGCTCTTGTTGGTCTCTTGTAGCTGGACTGTTTGGCCCAAAGAAATATTTTTTTATTAAGATATTTATTTTTTATATCCTTTGATTTTTCTTGTCTTTTTTCTTTATCCTTGTGAGGCATTCTTCTGAGCTGCTCAAGATCAATCCAGCACATTAGATCCATGCTGAAAAAATAATGGGAATTGCCGCATGAGAACAGCAAAGAGTCTAAATGGGCAGAAAAACTAAAGAGCTTTATTAATTATTCCCAGAAAAACATTTACCTAACTGCAAAACATACTTTTACTTTAAAAGAGAAGTTCACAATTTAAAAAAACAAACCTACATATTCACCTAGGTGTATGCATTATTGGTTCAATGCTGCATCTGTCCTTTGCTGCCTCTAGACAGAAAACTGACCAATCAAAGACCGCTGATTGCTCAGTTCTTGGTCTTCAGACTGCAGAGAGCCAGTAACTATCAGTCTCCGGCTCTCTACTCTGTCACTGGAGCGCTGGGCTGTGGGGTGGGCAGGAGTGGCTGGCTCAGGCTGTCAGCGCCATGCTGTGAGGCTGAGAAAGCTGCCAATCAGGGTGGATCCTGACAATATGGTCCTTGCAGAGCCTGGACCAGCTCTATGATGTCAGCGGACAGTTGAGTGTAGAACAAAGTGCATTCCTATGATCCATAGGAGAAGTATGGCCAAAAGGACTGTAATACTGTTATGCAAAAAGCACATGAAAGGACTTTTACATTTTAGTAGTCAATTTATGTTTAATCTCTTTTTGTTAAGATCTGCTTATAACAAAGTTACAAGAAAAAGACAAAGAACAAGAGACATATATGCACTCAATACCATATCGGCAACAGTACATCATAAATACTGATGTAGAAAATATAACAAAAGAAACATGTGGAAACACTCCAAGGGGTAAATAACAATCAAGCCCAACTAGCATATTGGGTGTGAAGGGAAGCAGTGAGAGTACATACAAATCTATAGGTGAAAGCCTATGATAAACTCCATATACCCAGGTTACGAAGGGGAGTAAACAATATACAGAAGGAGAAGATCATTGGCATACAAGGTGCCTCTTTCTTTTTGAGTATACATAGAACAGTAGTATGGCCATGAACAAATAAACAAATAGATTTTCTACAAGGGTGTAAGACCAGAAAAATACAGATAAAAGAAAAAGGAAAAAAAAAAAGGGGGGGTTGGAAGGGTAAGTTTAATCAAGTGCTAAAGAACGTACAAGATCCAAACTTCACACAGGGCAAGAAACCCCACACAGGATAACTAGGGATAGGGCTTAATAGTCAATGTATATATTACATTAGAAAACTGAAAAATAATAATTCTAAGGTGGCAGAAAACAATTTTGAAACCACTTCTGAATATACTTGTCTGTGGTGACAGTGTGTATTACAGATGTTTATTCACATTTGTTCTTGCTAACATTGTGAAGAGTCGATAGTCCCAAAGCTATCTGGTGGCAGTTTGGAGTTTGAAGGGTTAATTGCGTAATTAATTACCCCAGTGACAATCATTCTCAGGCTGCTGGCACATAGATTGTGGTCCCGCAAGCTGGAAAATCTCTGTGCAGAGTGCAGCTGACAGTGGCAGTGTTATGCAACTAACAGCGTGGTGTAAGATTGGCTGGTCCTTTGTCACGAGTTGGTGAGAAGGGCAGGAGTCGGGCACCGCATTCGTCACAGCATGTCTTTATAAATTCATATAAGTATAGCTTCTATTTCGTTCCTAGGTCAGTCCTGATCATCTATGACACGTGGAGGAAGAAGAGTGGCTACAAGCATCCTATATTTGTAGCCCCTTTAGCACTGTTAGAGCTCTAGCGTCCAAATGACCAAAATATTTTATTTATTTATTTGTTTTTAAAAAGCATAAAAGCTTTCCTACAATGTTATTAATGCTATGTTATATGTTTAGTTTAAATGCAGATAGTGCCTTAACTCTCTAAATCTGTATTAATATGATCGGGGCAAAAAATTGCTCCTTTTCTTTATAGAAAAAAAGATAAAAATGTCAGTAGATGGCTGATGCAGCAAGCAAAGCTCACACTGAACCCTAAATGCCTCAGAACCTTGGTGATTAGTAATACACCCCACAGTTTGGATAGCACAGAGTTACACAGCCTTTACAGTCAATGCCATTTCCAAAGCGTCCATGCTGTCAGAATGTGACCTCTGGTCCATCTCTTGCTGCCACTAGACAGCCCTGCTTGAGACATACTTTTAGATTGCACATGAAATGAACAATCTTGAATAATGGTAAATCACCAATTTCATGAGCTATCTTTTTTCACACTAGGTCTTCCAGCTGCTGCAAATCACCAGTTAACAAGGAAACACTTCTACTGCAGTAAAGGAGCAGGCAAGGTGCACCAGCCTAAAAGAAAACTTGTTTCATTCTGTGAAGCGCACCTAATAAAGCCCTTCTATAACCCCATGCTGTTAAATACACACTTGTGATAAGTTTCTTGTAAAATACACCGTGAGACACCTAGGGAGCACATTTGGCCACAGTGACACTGGGAGGAATTAATGTGCCCATTAAAATGCTGGCACTGGTTCTACAGAGGCCGCGTCCGGCTTGACGCAGATGTTTTTATTCCGTACAACACTGATAACACAGGTTTTGGGAATTGCCAAGCTCAATATTAATGCCTCTGGAACAATGTAGTATATGTGTGCCTAGACCCAATCAGCTTTTCCTGTAAGCTTAATTTATTGGGCACATTTGCATGAAAAGGTTCATGTCATAACACACGTGTGAAGAATGTGAGAATGATTTATGAGGCTCAAACAAACTGGCAAAACTGCAAGTACAACAAACTTCTAGAACAAAGGCTATACAATACTACATTTGCAGTAAAGGGGCTCAATGTCAATGCGTTTCTTAGCTTCAGTGGGGCCAGTTTTTAAAAGATAAAGCAAATACAACTTAAACAGAGGTAGAGCTGTTGCCCATAACAATCAATTACTTTTTTCTTACTATTAGTATTTATACACAGCGCCAACATATTACATGTAGGTTTAGCTAGGGTTGTCAGTGGTGTACCCCAGGGTTCAGTGTGGGACCCTTACTTATATAATATATTTATAAACGATATAGGGTCTGGAATTAAAAATCCCATTTCAGTCTTTGCAGATGACACCAAGCTGTGCAGTGGAATAACGTCCTTACAGGATGTCTTCAACTTACAAGCCGACCTCAATGCACTGTTTAATTGGGCAACTATGTGGCAAATGAGGTTTAATGTTAATAAATGTAAGGTTATGCACTTGGGGGCTAAGAATATGCATGCATCATACATACTGGGGGGGGGGGGGGTACAACTGGAGGAATCAATGGTGGAGAAGGATCTGGGGTTCTGGTAGATCACAAGCTTAATAATGACATGCAATGCCATGCTGCGGTTTCTAAAGCGAGCAAAATCCTCTCTTGTATTAACCCCTTCAAGCCTAAGGGTAAAACAAATCTTAATGCCTAAGCACAATTTTGCAATGTTGACATGTGTTAGTAAAACCGTACATATCATCACAACTATTTTGTACATCCAGGTGAATTATACCGTGTTTTTTTCAGGACAAATTGGGCTTTCATTTGGTGGTAAACGGTAATGGATATCTCCTGATTATTATTTTTTTATATTATTATTATTGCTTTTTTACCTAAAACACACTGACACTGATACCAAAATAAAAAAAATAAAAAAAAATCCTGACCTTGACCTTTGACCCTGACACTAACCCTGACAGTGAACTAGATCAAACCTTTATTTACTTTTTTAACAAACTTTATTTTTCTTCTCTATGCAAGGAGTTAGAGAGATACAATGTATCTCTCTCCTCCATTCATAGACAAAAAAAAAAACAAGGAGGGGCGGGCTATACAGTGACTGATCACTGCGATAGCCAATCAGAGCCTATCACAGCGATCATGTGACCCAGAATCAGGAGTCCCAGGTCCGATCATTAGAACGGGACCCCTGGCTCTCAGTGACATCCTGGTCTTTGTGCTGGGAGTGCGCTGTGCTGCACTCTTCCAACAGAAAGACAGGTATATAAATATGGGGCCCCACGGAAAAAAGCCCAGTTATGTGAGGCTGCATAATTGTGTGAAATCGGCGTGAAGGGGATAAAAGAGGTATAGACTCAAGAGAGAGAAATATCACATTACCCCGGTACCTCATCTGGAATATGCAGTTCAGTTTTGGGCACCAATTCACAAACAAATATTGGGGAACTAGAGAATGTGCAGAGAAGGGCAACCAAACTGATAAGAGGCATGGAGGAGCTCAGCTATAAGGAAATATTAGAAGAATTAGAAGTATTTTCTTTTGAGAAGAGGAGATCAAGGGGGGATATGATCAACATGTATAAATACATCAGTGGTTCATATAGTGAACTCAGTATAGAGCTATTCACCCTGAGGTCATCACAGAGGATAAGGGGGCACGCTTTACTTCTGGAGGAAAAGAGACTTAATCTCGAAATACAGAAAGGTTTCTTCACAGTAAGAGCTGGGAAAATATGGAATACCCTCAAGAGTTGGTTCTGGCCAGCTCAGTGGACTGCTTTAAAAATGCCTGGATTCTTTCTTAGATACACAGAATATAACTGGATACTAACTTTTATAGGTAAAGTTGATCCAGGGAGTATCCAATTGCCTTTCGGGGGATCAGGAAGGAATTGTTTCCCCTGAAGGAGCAAAGATCATGCATTGCTGGGTTTTTAGCCTTCCTCTGGATCAACTGTGGGTATAGGATTATAACTTTTTTTTATGGTTGAACTGGTTGTCTTTTTTCAGCCAGACTAACTATGTAACTATGAATACATAGAACCATTCATGTGAATCCTGTAGGATATTGACAACAAATCCCTGTAAACCGAATAACTTCACAAACTATTATCCATACTGCACCCAAACACGTTACAGCCAACTTAGGAAACTGCTAAAATTGTATTGGTATGTTTTCAATTTTTTAAGCAACTGGACCACTTAGTGGAAACCTACCAAAACACAAGTACAACATGGAAAAAGGAATATAACGAGCGCTGGACAGTTTTTAGAGCGAAATAGAGAAGCAGCTGGCATGAAAGGCAAGCCTCCAAAACGCCTCGTGGTGGACAATCATATACAAAAACATGCAGCGCTAGAGTGAATAGATCTATCTCATAATACGGAGTGACCACTTAATAAGATATAAACGCAGCTATCATAATAGTCTTATGCAACTAATATTATAACATTCTCATGGTTAAGAAGGTATAAATGGTGATAAAGGTGTCAAAGTCAATCTATCATCGGAGTGACGTAAATCTGTGACATCTGTGGTAGGAAATATGGCTGTGGAATGCACTAACCAGATAGCGCAAATAAAAGCGCATTGGAGTAAAATGACCTACTCCTGGTCACTGGATCAGGGAACCTGCCGGAATGGTGGTCGTCTCTACTATGGTCACCAGAGTCATCCGTGTCCTCTCCAGTAATGGAATTCCCAGGTATCCGGTGGAGTAAACGTTCATCCGGTATGCAGTAGAATCCTTGTGTCAGCGACCTCCCGGGGTGCGATGTGCGCTCAAGGACCAGGAATCACCTTCAGGGCTCAGAAATAACCCAAAAGAGAGGCTTCCGATAGTGTGATAACTTTTATTATGGAGTAGTAAACAAAAAACGCACTTACATGGTGCAATATACACTTCCAAAGATGGCCGCCCGTGTCAAGGTGTGGACCATGTGGGTAGTGGTTGTGGGTCAAATAGCATCTCCCTAACGCGTTTCGTGGCAACTGCACGTTTTCAAAGGGCTTTGAAAACGTGCAGTTGCCACGAAACGCGTTAGGGAGATGCTATTTGACCCACAACCACTACCCACATGGTCCACACCTTGACACGGGCGGCCATCTTTGGAAGTGTATATTGCACCATGTAAGTGCGTTTTTTTGTTTACTACTCCATAATAAAAGTTATCACACTATCGGAAGCCTCTCTTTTGGGTTATTTCTGAGCCCTGAAGGTGATTCCTGGTCCTTGAGCGCACATCGCACCCCGGGAGGTCGCTGACACAAGGATTCTACTGCATACCGGATGAACGTTTACTCCACCGGTTACCTGGGAATTCCATTACTGGAGAGGACACGGATGACTCTGGTGACCATAGTAGAGACGACCACCATTCCGGCAGGTTCCCTGATCCAGTGACCAGGAGTAGGTCATTTTACTCCAATGCGCTTTTATTTGCGCTATCTGGTTAGTGCATTCCACAGCCATATTTCCTACCACAGATGTCACAGATTTACGTCACTCCGATGATAGATTGACTTTGACACCTTTATCACCATTTATACCTTCTTAACCATGAGAATGTTATAATATTAGTTGCATAAGACTATTATGATAGCTGCGTTTATATCTTATTAAGTGGTCACTCCGTATTATGAGATAGATCTATTCACTCTAGCGCTGCATGTTTTTGTATATGACAAGTACAACATACAAACTCCATGCAGACAATCTCTCTGGTCCCTGATCTACAAGGAGAAAGTGCTAAAAACTTAACCACTAAGCAAGTCCTACAAAGCTTAATTTTTCACTATGGGAAAACTAAATCTTACTGGTTACTATATGCGGCAGCTCCACTTCTGCTCTGTGTTTGTTTGCTGACTTTACAAATCAGACGTTAGGTGTTTGTCACAAGCTGATGTATATATGGTCTGTTCAGTTTTGCACTATTTCCGTGCAAATAATGTCTACCTCAGCCATATCTGTTCTTCCACATATGCTGATTAGTGTGACAAGGCCAGGTTTACAAGTACAACATAGTAGCTCCCAGTGGAGTCACAAATGGCTTTCATTAATGTCACACTTCAAAACTTTTCTATGGTAATAGTAACCTCAGAATGATTGACAGGTCTGAGATGAGATAAAATCTTACAAGAATAAGGAAGGAAATAAATTGATCTTACAAGTCTGAATGTGTCATTATATTCTCATACTCTGACCCCTTTCCTAAGGGAAATGTGTAGGCTGCCATTGCCGACATCCCTCTGCATATATTAAATGCCTGGCTTTATTGACTCCCCTGGCATCAAAGCTTTTACTTTCAGAGTCAATGACCAGGAACAAGTATGGAGAACAGGAAATTTGGCAATAAAAATCAAAGATTAACATAATGGGAGATCACCTGGACACCACATCCCAAAATATAGGTGTACACAGAATATTTGGACATGCATTTTGGAACTTTTAAGGTGCCATAAATAAGATCAAGGATTAATTAAAAGATACCTTATTCCAACATACTGCATATCATTGATTAACATACACTGCAGTAGAGAACATGATACTCACCACCAACCGATCTTATAAACAATGCTACAGTATGTCATAAAGTACAGATGTTTATGTTTTATGTCACATTGCAATTATGAGTTGAAGATCTTAGATAAACAGCAATGATTATTCAACACAAGTAATCTGTTGTTCCTAAATGCGTTCCATGTTGAGCATCATTGGGAAAAAATACTACGTAATATAGATGTGTTGCAACTGCTCAAAGGATCCCATGACATGTCACCGGTCATAACCCAAGAATGGCCACCACCAGAGTTCAAAGGGGGCCATCAATGGACTGCAGGGAGAGGAAACAGGATGGCATTCCAGCTTTCGAAGAAAAGAAGATATGTGTTAAATGGGGGATCATTGACTGGTGACATGTCATAGGATACTTTGAGTGGGTGCAAAGCATCTATATTATATAGTATTTCTTCATGTTTACGAAACGTGTTGAAGAACTACAGATCACTTATGTTGAATAATCACTGATGTTCATCAAAGATCTTCAACTTCTTATTGTATTGTGTTTTATTCATACAACAGCTGTATTTTGTGATATAGCACTGTTTTTTAAAATGGGTTGGTGGAGACTACCACTTTTCTTACTACAATGTATCTCAATCAATCAATGATACATGGTGGAATAAAGTATTTTATAAATAATCCTTGATAGCACTATCTACATATTTGCTCTAGACAGTAAATAAAAGCACCGATGTCAACCCTAAAACAGCAAAGTGAAGACCCCTTTAGAATAACTTTTTTCTAAAAGATGGTAATGTTACATGATTTGCAAATACAGATAATTCACAGAGATTAGCAATGTTAATATTTCACTCATCTGGTATTAACTACAGATTGTCAATAATTTCTATACCTTGCAAAATGTTCCTCTAAGAAGGAACGAAAGTGCTCCAGTTCCATCCGATGCCGCACCAGGGTGCCCAGGTTGTAATTCCTGTACTCCTCAGGTACCAGTTCCCACAGGTTGTGTTCTTTAGGGATGTCTGGAGGTGGCACAAAAACTGACTTCTTGGCTTGATCCTGGTAAGACATATTTTCATTACATTTATTCTGCTTTAAGGAATGACAAAATAAGTGTTTTTTTTTTATTTTAAAAATGCTTTTTTATTGGGTTTCAGGGAAGAACACAGCATAGTAACAACATATCAACGATGTAAGGACACGGGACAGACAGAATGCTCCATCCGAGTAAACAAGTAGTAATACCATAGGTTACTAACATAGGTTAGACCACAGAAATATACAAAAAACATGTGTAATATGTTGAAGCTTCTAGAAGGAAGCAAGGAGACCTGGATGAAAGGTCCCAGTGTGTAAAAAGTGATCCCTAAATGTTTGTCATGTGGAGATGAAGTGCTTAGGAGAAACGGAGTGGAAAATGTAGTTGAGCTTGTTTTTTACATCTGATTTCAAAGGCCTAGTTGACAAGGTCCATTGTTTGAGTATGACCTTGCAGGCAACTAGTAAGCAGATGTAAATCCATGGGGAACCACAGGTAGAATTCTTCAGTTGAGTTACAGTAGGCTGACCTGTTCTGGTGCCATAACCAAAACAATGTAAGGAAAGGGTCTTTGGGGATATGGCATTGTGTGACCTCGGATATGAAAGTGATATGAAAATGGCTGCCTGGTCCCTGAATTCAGAGATGCGGGGGAGAGAGAGAGGTGGATGAAAGAGGGCCAAAACATGCTGCATAATGGGCAGGCAGCTTATCAAGGATCATCTTTGAATGGGCTACATGGAATATAGGTTCTTTGAATAAGCTTGAGTTGAGTACACATTTCATTGACAACCAGGTTCAGGACCTTGTGTAACAACTCAATAATTTCTTGGTAAGTGTCATCCATAAAGTTTGAAGATAAGGACAGCGTGAGGGGCTTCTCAAGTTGAAGGGGGCAATAAATGCCATGGGCTGTATGGTAAAATGTATTTCTATTTTTTTTTTCACACTACAGCATTATTTAATGGCTCGAAAGTTTTTAGTACAGCAGTCCACAAGCTCTTCCTACTGAGGGACAATAAAAGCCATTCTTAGGAACATGAGATAACTGCAAGAACATGCATGAGACACTGGTTTTTATTGTATTGTAGGTGTTGCTGCACCCAAAAATAACTGGTTCAAAATTCATAGTTGAAGAAAGTATAAAAATGTGTTCTCATAAAGGGCTGCTGCTATAAATGAAAAGACTGCTGAGTTTGATTTATAGAGACAATTTAGAATGACATGAAAATTTAGCTTTTATTACCAGCAAGCAGCCCTGAATTAATCAAGCTAAACTGAAGTTCATTATATATGTGTGGTTCGTTTCATTCCGAATTTAAATTCAGGCGCATTTTTCATTATTCGGAGATTTGGATGTCCCCTCAAATTTCCAAATTACAACAGTAACAAAGCCAAAATAACAAAATGAAATTCAAACAAAATTTATACAAAATTTGAATTCAAATCTAATGCAAATTCAATTTGATTCGAATTCAGGTCAAATTCTAATAGAAAAAGAATACAATAGAATAGAATACAATATAACAGAATAGATTAGAATAGAATAGAATAAAATAGAATATAACTGTCTTCGGAAATTCAAATTTCAAATAGAATAAGAAAGAATAGACTAGATTAGAATAGATAATGAAAGAATAGAAAAACAGAATAAAATAGAAAAAAACAATAGGAATAATATAACTGTCTTCCAAAACTCGAATAGAATAGATTAGATAGAATAGAAAATAACAGAATAGAAAAGAATAGAATAAAATAGAAAAAAAAAATCAAATAGAATACATTCAAATTTGAATAGAATACATTAGAATAGAATAGAAAAGAATAGACTAGAATAGAATAAATTAGATTAAAAAGAGTGTGCTGAGCGATCAGAAAACAGCCTATGTGGTGCAGAGCTGTATTACTGAAAACAGGAGCAGTGTGTCCCTGGAAATCTGTAAAGCTCCTTTAGATCTACCATCTACTATGTAGTGCAAGCGCCTGCCTTATTGAATACAGAATGATTGAATAGATGGTGTGTCCAGATGGTATTACACGCCTGCCCGTCTGGCCCGTTTTATCCCCTCATACTCCCGATCTTGTGGATCGGGGTTTCTGCCCTTCTCCGCACTATGTTTCACACAAACATTAAGCGTAACCCATACGAGGCACTATTATTTAAACCATTAGTGGGCCTACTTCGTCCTGAGCGGCAGCTGGCACCGCATCTATTCATGGCTACCATACTAACGATCGCGAGGGCTTGGAAGACCCCCCATCCTCAGTATTAAAGCAGTCAAAAATCGGATGAATATTATAATGGTTAATGAGAAACTGACGGTTATGCTGTTAGACACCCACACAAAGTTTCTGGCGTCCCTGGCTTGATATAGTCCAACCATCTAGATTTGACCAGACCATTTAGTCAATATAAGATTGTTTTTCTGTCGTGGTCCCCTTTCTTTGTCTTTTGTCTTTTGTTTTTTCCTTCTTCGTTCCTCCTTTTCTTTTCTCTGTTTTGCCTATTTTCATGATATTTGAGCTGATTGTATCTACCTGTTGGACTTCCTTAGGAGGCCTGGGTGTAGAGTACCAATCTGCATCCAGTGAGGCTCCATGTTCTATTTTTCCTGCCTTCTGTATGCAGATTTTGTGATAATCCTTGATCTTTTTTTACTAATTCATTGGTCTTTAATTGTCTGCCATTTTTGCAAATTATAATGTTTTATTTTCTCTCTTCATATACTGCGCTTGTGTACTCAGTTTATTTCCTTGTCTATACTTCAGTGCATTTATTGTATTATTCATCAGAAAACTTGTACGCTTTATCTTTGTTGATCAATCATCCTGTTTATGACTAGTTCTCTGATGTTGTCTATTCTACAATAAAATCCATTGTAAAAGAATAGATGGCATGTCCTATTATATAGTTTTGGTAAATCTAAAGTAGAACATACAGAGATTGTACAATCAGATTATATAGTATATAGCCACATTTATACACCTAAAATGAACTAGTCACACTTTTGGTCAACAAAACGGCCAGTAAAAAACTTGCAAACTGCAACACACCAAAATGTCCCATAAGCTACTTTGCCACGTATAGGGCAGCCCATTGAAATCAACGGGCTGCCCAAAGGTTGCAGGAAAGAGAATTGCTTGGTTCTCCATCAAGATAGAGGGTCTAGACAAACTATCATTGACAGGGGTGCTTACAATGATCAGCTGTTATTCATTTATATAAAGCCTTTACTTCTAAAGGAAAAAAATTATTGGTGTTTCTGTTCAGTGTTTGCTGGAGTTCATATTTAAATTGTTAGTTGTTTATGTAAAATCCATCTAACACTATTCTCTTCACTGATTGACAATGCTGCTGTCCAAGGGTGGCTACGTTGCTCCTACATAGATACAGTGGAGGAGTGAATGTAGTCACCCTAAGATGGGAGATGTGTTACTGGCCAACACCAGATGAAAATAAAGGAAAAACTTTGAAAAAAGAAAACCAATGCAATCACCACATCCAATGATTGGTAGGCTACAAATTTATTAAATTTTTTGAGTGGTTTAGTTATGCTTTAGGACCCCTTTCAGAATTTTTTTCTTTCTGGGTTCCATCAGAGTGATTTCTCTTTTACTTCCAGTTCCAGAGATAAAGGAGGAAATAAGAAATCTCTCACATGCGAGGGGATAGCCTCTCAAAGACAGCTGTTCCCCAGAAGTGGTTTACCCAGTGAAAGATTTCCATTCACCTTTTGTTTTGTAAAAAGCCCATCACTTTTATGTACAGGAGACAGGGGTCATCAAGACAAACAGGAGGAAACAGACCAGGGTTTTTTTAGGAGGAAACAGACCAGGGTTCTAGGAGCAAACAGACCAGGATTCTAGGAGCAAACCAGGGTTCTAGGAGGAAACAGACAGGGTTCTAGGAGGAAACAGACCAGGGTTCTAGGAGCAAACAGACCAGATTCTAGGAGCAACCAGGGTTCTAGGAGGAAACAGACCAGGGTTCTAGGAGGAAACAGACCAGGGTTCTAGGAGCAAACAGACCAGGGTTCTAGGAGCAAACAGACCAGGGTTTCTAGGAGCAAACAGACCAGGGTTCTAGAGGAAACAAATCAGGATTCTAGGAGGAAACAGACCAGGGTTCTAGGAGCAAACAGACCAGGGTTCTAGGAGGAAACAGACCAGGGTCCTAGGAGGAAACAGACCAGGGTTCTAGGAGCAAACAAATCAGGGTTCTAGGAGGAGACAGATCAGGGTTCTAGGAGCAAACAGATCAGGGTTCTAGGAGGAAACAGACCAGGGTTCTAGGAGGAAACAGACCAGGGTTCTAGGAGGAAACAGACCAGGGTTCTAGGTGGAAACAGACCCAGGGTTCTAGGAGCAAACAGACTAGGGTTCTAGGAGAAAACAGACCAAGGTTCTAGGAGGAAACAGACCATGATTCTAGGAGGAAACAGACCATTATTCTAGGAGGAAACAGACCAGGGTTCTAGGAGGAAACAAACCAGGGTTGTAGGAGCAAACAGACCAGGGGTCCTAGGAGGAAACAGACCAGGGCTCTAGGAGGAAACAGATCAGGGTTCTAGGAGCAAACAGACCAGGGTTCTAGGAGGAAACAAACCAGGGTTCTAGGAGGAAACAGACTAGGGTTCTAGTAAGAAACAGATCAGGGTTCTAGGAGGAAACATACCAGGGTTCTAGGAGCAAACAGACCAGGGTTCTAGGAGGAAACAGACCAAGGTTCTAGGAGGAAACAGACCATGATTCTAGGAGGAAACAGACCATGATTCTAGGAGGAAACAGACCAGGGTTCTAGGAGTTCTAGAGGAACAGACCAGGGTTCTAGGAGGAAACAGACCAGGGTTCTAGGAGGAAACAGACCAGATTTCTAGGAGAAAACAGACCAGGGTTCTAGGAGGAAACAGACCAAGGTTCTCAGAGAAAACAGACCAGGGTTCTAGCCCCTCACCACTCTATATACTTTAATTTATATAGCGCCAGTATACTCTGTGATGTTGTATGAAGTTAGAAACAG